TGAAGCAACAACTTGCATTTGGAGGGAGAGAAGCGCATCCCAAACATTCTGGCATTGTTGCTCAGTGCTACCAAAAGACTCTGCATTTCATCAGCGTCTTCACCAAACAGAACTATGTCATCTGCGTATTCTAAGTCAATAAGTGGACCTCCTGGTAGGAGATCAATACCCGAGAATTCAGTCGATGAGAGCGTTATTTCCATCAGTAGATCTATGATGAAGTTGAACAAAAACGGAGAAAGTGGACAGCCTTGGCAGACCCCACTTGAGGTTGCGAAAGCGGATGACATTTCGCCATAAGCTCTGACTCGACTAGTAGTGTTCGAGTAAAGAGCTTTCACAAGGTTTATGTACTTCTGAGGTACGCCTTTCAATGACAGACACTGCCACAGAACTTCTCGGTCAACAGAGTCAAACGCTGCTTTTAAATCAAGGAATACCACCATTGTCGGACGCCGATAAGTATGCCTGTGTTCTAGAACCTGACGAATGGTGAATATGTGGTCGATGCAGCCATGGTTTGAAATCATTATTCATACACTTTTAGTCGAAATGTAGTTCCTACCTGTTTGAAACTACTCCTTTTAGTAGAACCTCGCCAACAAAGCAACGTTGGTAGCTTTCACTCATAAAATATCGCTAGAATTTCGTGACAATTTCACTAATATAATAAAATTTATTTAAATACATTTGTTTGACAACTAACTACAAATACTTGTGAGGATTAGTGAAGGTACTCGGCTTCTTGCACCAAATGAATGGAACAGGAATAAATGTATTTTATTATTTATTTTATTTAAACACATAAATATTGGCATCACACAATTCGCTCAATTTGTGTGCGGCTTGTGAAACTGCCCAGGTTCCCGAACCGAAGCAGGTGGACTAAATGTTAGATATTATAATCCCTCATAACATCGGTAGTCATTTGCGTTGTGCTCAAGCCCATTAATAAGCTTTAATTTATCCTAGAAGTTTTATAAATGGTTAATACATATTAAAGTTATGTTCTATTGTTTGATTTTATTAAAAACTTATACTCTAATTTCAGTATTTTACTTGATAAAAACTTCATAGTTAATCAAGAAAAGCTCTACAAATTTTGAAAATTCACCAATTAAATGTAGAGTTTGTTTGAAAAAAATTGAATTATTGAAGGCTAAACTGATTCCGTATTCTTTTTTAAACTTACTAAAAACTCTAATTATGAGGTCGTGGAGAAGATTTGTAGCTCAGGTGGATGATTTTGATGGAGTTTTGTTCTCTGAAGTGGATGGTTTGGTCGTGGAGCTTTCATTGTTCTTCTAAACGACATCATCAGCACGAACTTCAGATAGAAGACTTCGAATGATGTCGTTCAGAAGAACGACGAAAGCCCCACGACCAAACCATCCAGCTTAGAGAACAAGACCCCATCAAAAACTATTTATTTACAACATTTGGAATCTGTCTACTGATGTTAATGAAGTTACTGTAATTTAATTAAGTGTATAAATTTCATTCACATCATCCATTTATTTATTCGATAGATTTACTAATTTATAAATAACTAAACCACTAGGTAATTTCGTACTAATTAGCAATAGTATAAATTATTAATACTTGTTTAAACGTGAGTAGTACATGTATCTGGGTCTTATGAAAAATAAAAATTTCAACGGAGATTTATTTGCATTAATTATTTGTGATACTTTTCTTGTAAATTCTCGATTTTCAATAAATGGATAACTGACTTTAACATATCTCTGATATCTACTGTATAGGTGATATGAGTAGAAAATTTAATTTAGTACGGACATATATATATATATATATATATATATATATATATATATATATATATGTGGTATGATTGGTAAACCATCGATATGAAAGTTTAATTTGGTCTTTCGTGGTAATATTTTGGTATAATTAAGACGCTGACAAAGTGCAGAGTCTTCTGATCTCTCGAAGCAACAGTGCAAGCATGTTCGGCATGCGATTCTCTCCATCGAAATGCAAAATTTTACTTCAGGATTGGATAGCATCGTCACCCGAACTAATAATAAGGAGTGAAATAGCTGTACGTGTCGACCGCTTCACTTATCTCGGAAGTCTCATCAGCCCTTGTGGTTTGGTGTGTGACGAAATCTCAGCACGACTAGCTTTTGCCAACTTGCGTCATTTGTGGCGTAGGCGAGATATCCGTCCACCAACCAAAGGACGTGTTTACTGCTCAGCAGTTCGTTCTGTCTTACTTTATGGTAGTGAAACATGGCCGGTAAGAGTAGAGGATATTCGTAAGCTACTAGTATTCGACCTTAGATGTCTTCAAAACATTGCTCGTATATCCTGGGACCACCGAGTAAGTAATGCAGTTGTTAGGAGACGGGTACCAGGTAAGGAATGCAAATCGATTGATGAAGTAGTGAAACTTAACCAGTTGGGATGGCTGGGACATGTGTTACGTAACCCTAATCACCGAATGCCCCGACGTGCGATGTTTTGTGGTGTAGGAGTAGGTTGGAAGAAAGCTAGGGGCGGCCAGACCAAAACATGGCAGAAATCCATGAAGTCACTGACAAGTGGACTGAGTCATGTTGGTAGGTGTAGACTACCTGGTTGGGGACCGCGAGATGATAGCAACCGATGGTTAGAGACGTTGAATGACATGGCTCAAAATCGTTTGCACTGGCGCAGGTGCATCCACTCTTTGTGTTCTCTCAAATTCTAATCTTCTGAATTCTCCATGTCCTTTATTTTCCTACCAAATATATTCCACTGGACTATACTCCTTAAATAACAATATCAAACCTTAATGTTCCCTGTCACTACTTATACTTTCGCTACCTCTACCACTACGGGATTTGAATCGATAACTGCATCTCTGTGCTAATGTAGTATGGCAACTCGAACTGATGTACGTACGTACGAAGTTCCACGTTGTTACTGACTGATTAATTGATAATTAAATTAAGTAGTCAAGTTTCTGGCACTTATTATTGATGTGTTAATCAAAATCTTCAAATGTCTTATGAATTCCATGGTATTTACACCTCGAACCATTTAGGATACATTTGGCCTACAGCACACAAATATGTGTATGATTCTTGATACAAGCATTATATTTCTTTTAATTTCTTGTAAATCATTCATCATGAATGTATTTTACGCGATGCTTTTTCAGATTGATAAAAAAGTAAACTAAGAATTTTTGAATAGTTTTGAAGGTTATATAAACCTTGTACATTATAGATTATGATACTTACGTTTTGTTACACATAATTCCAAGGTTATAATTTATCAGATTGTACTCATTGTTTACCCGTATTTTGCAAGTTATAATTTCTGTCATTAATGTTAATCAAACATCAAATTTTCAGAATAAATGAATGCTAACAATTGCAATTATTCCAATTAATTTTATTTGATAATAATTAAAATTCTGATTATTCGGTTTGTGTATTGAATTTAAGTTAACTATTTTATTTTTATCTTTGTACTTTAGTAAAATTGATTGTTGCTCTTTTGAACACAATCTTTTTTTGTTAAAAAGTGCAACTTGATAACTATTGAAGAATTTTCGCCGTTGGTATTTTTAGATGTAGTGGCGCAGTGGTCAATGTACCCAGATTTTACCCATTAGGTCGTTGGTTCAAAACTTTTTTGATAAGTCGGTTAGTGGTATTCGCTCTCATATAAAAAGAATGATGGCTCATGGTTGAATATAAAATCCTGTACTTATATGATAAAACGGTTTTGTATTATGTTATTCAACTAGTGAACTGCTGATTTTCATTAGAATCATGTACTAAGCCATCCATTGCTTCCAGGTCTTCAATAGTGTGGTAATTTAGATCGGTCTATAATCTCAATTCAATAAATTTTTGGTAATCACACTGATGTTAAGTCAGAGAAATAAAATTTGAAATTTTCGAAGTGTTATATGGAAAAATGATTTCTATATGATTCGGGAACTGAGTTGTTTACTACTTATATGGAATTTTGAATAAATATTTACTGATTGAATGAAATCCCTAACTTATTAATTTGTAGATTGCTGACAATAAACATTCTTCATTATCCTTATACTATGTTTTTTTTTGTTTTTTAACTACGAAACTTTTGTAAAAATAGGAACCTCATGGTAAATTAGCTTAATCTATTTTTGACTTTATAGTTTGTTCGTCTTGTTAGGCGAATTAAAAGTTAATATCAGAAGGGGTTTTGTGGATATGATAGTAATTCTAATGGTTGAGTCAGTTGAAACTAGACCACCATGGAAAACCTGGAAGCACTGGAGGGCCGTTTTATTCTATTGAGGGACTCCTCAGCATTGCGCATCTACGGTCTCGCCCCCTGCGAGATTCAAACCCAGGACCTGTCAGTCTCGCGCGCGAGCACTTAACCACTAGACTACTAAGCCGGCATTCAACGGTGTTAATGTCTAACTTCAAATTGAGCGACACATCCACCATTATCATCAGTAAGTTATTATCACAACAGACCTGGTTGAACTTCACTGGTCACTGCTTCTCACTAGAACTCCAGGATATACCTCTTGAAGCCAGTCACTAGTGAGCATATGTTGATTAATCTCAGAAGGGGTTTTGTGGATATTATAGTATTTTCAATGGTTGAGATCATAAGTCAGTAAACGGCCGTCCAGTGCTTCCAGGTTTTCCATGGTGGTCTAGCTTCAACTGACTCATGATCTTAACCATTGAAATGAAATGTTATTTGAAGAAGCTACTGTCAATTCTTACACCAACGTAGTTAAATTCTAATACCGACTTATTGTGGATAACTGAATGTTACAGAAATTCAAACCCCATAATGGATACTAAGATATTGCCTAATAGTCTACTGACCATCTTGAAATAACTTCATCAGTTTTGTTTGAGTTTTTCTTTGAATTATTGTCCTATTCATCAATAGTGCAAATGTCTTTTGGACCCCGTTGAAACGTTTGAAACTTAAAACACGAATTAGTATGATTGTCTGTATACCCTAAAAATAATGAAAAATGTTTAACACCATTTTTATTGATTGATTTTAGTGACAAATTTTTCTTTATGACAGACCACATTATTTTTTTAGTCTAAAAAGTTTTTGATATAAATAATATCATTTTTGTTTTTGTTTTTAGGATTGCAGAAGCTCTTGTAACGAGTGAGGAGTCTCATATGGCGCTGTCAAATGCTTCTGAAAATGAAACTGCTGAATGCAAACAAAATGTCCATAAATTTTCAGAAGAACAATCTCCAGAAGATAACAGATCATTATCTTCACCGCACATCCCCGATGCTACTTTAAGTAATCAACCGGTGTTTGAAGGAAGTGAAAAGTTATCAAGAATTCGCTTGAGTTCTTCAGGTGATTCTTCTATACCTAGTCCATTATCTTTTCCTACGAAATTTATTCCGTCGAGAAATTCAGAAATTAACCCTTATCCATCTGCTTCATTGAACCCGGTAAATGTTAATAGTATCCATCCTTCTAAGCAGGTACATCAGGGATTATTATATAATTTGCTCATTTCCAAAGAAACTTCATCACAAAATTCTACGACCAAAACTTCGGTCTCTATTTCTCCCGGTCAGTCATTAATGGAAACTAATGAAAATATGAGTGATATACGAACAGATAAGCCACTTTCTGACTCAACAGTGTTCATGGATTCTCATAATGCAGATACAAACATTTATCCTAGCTCAATTAAAAGTTCTACAGTTTATTCTAATTTTCGTCATCGAGCTAACTCTCTTGGTTGCAAACTTTCTAATAACCGCCCATATACTCGACCTCATGCTTCATCTTTTGGTGCCGCTTCTGACTTTTATCCTAGCCTCAAAGCACGTTTACAGCATCGTCGTCAAATGGAGGGATCAACGCCAGATTCGGTCTTTTCAAAACCAAAATATACATTATATCATCGAGCACTGTCAAAGTCACATGAAAATGCAATGAACGTTTCCCATATAGACACTCGTTCGCACAGTTTAAGCGCTATCTTACCTCAAAAATCTAGTTTATCCTCATCCGGTGTATCTAGTCCCCGTGTTCCACCCCAAAGTTTTCCAGTTTATCCCAGAATGATGGCTCCCTCTCCCACTATCACTTCTCAGAGTTCAGGATATAGCTCAGCTGGCCTACAAAAATCTCCTCAAACCTCTTCACTGTCAAACGATTCAGGATCTGATGAGCCAATTGATCTCACTGGTCACTCTGTACCCATATCACTAACAACAAATACATTTCCTTTACCTACTATTACTCCCGGTGTTAATAATTTTCAGAATGGAAACTTTCCTTATGTACAGTTAGCTAAGAAAACTGCTCGTCCGGTGCAAGCACGAATTACCGAGTGGTTACGGCAGATTACTGAGTTTGTGGCCCTATCTACACCTCTTGTTTCTACTTTGAAACCTAAATTATGGACTCTTAATGATTTATCTAAACAAGAACATCATTTGAATAACAAGAATGTTGCTTTTCCTTGGTTATCATTACTTGCACAATGCTGGCAAAAACTGTTAGCCTTAAGTATGGTTGAGAATTCTTTGGATGTTGTTGTTGTTGAAGATAAATCACTATACGAAGAAAACCATCAATACCAGGATCCTGTGAACTTGGAAATCCCATGGTCTCTGCTTACAGATATACAAAGACATGGAGAAACGAAAAACAGGAGGCCAGATCGGAAGTTTTCTAATGAACTCCTTCAATTTTTATCAGAAATACGTCAAGCTGGTTTGAGTGCTCAGGAGTTTTATTTATTACGTCACGTAGTTCTTCTAACTGGTATGTTCCGAATGTCTTTAATGATTAGTATCATTTTTGTACCAGATTCTTCGTGGTTTTTATTGTGTTACCTGTACTTAAAACATTTAGTTAGTTGAGAAGTTGTACTATTATATTGGTGTATGTTTTATTGAATGAAATGAATTTATTGCAGACCTGGCTCATGATAAGAAAAGTATGAGAAAACTTATAATAATGTCTGAATAGCTTTTAATTTTTCAGCTGATCTTATGATTTTTCCTAACCTACCTGTACTCTAGTAGATATATCATATTAGATTGATCAGTGGCTTATATTACTTGAAATGAGCTTCATTAACTTTAATCCTTAATGGTTCTCACAACTTTATCGACCGATTTATCATTGTTGCTCGATAATGAAGTTCAGCACAATGTGCCTAATATACGATATAAATACTTTTCAGATAGAAATTTATTAGTACGTAGCAAATGGCAAGGTTTGCTAGCTTATATGTAGTTATTTCTTTTTGTGGTAAGATTTCTCGCCAATTCTGAACATCTTTCCGTACAAGTTGTAATCATCTATTTACAATTTCATAAAAATATTCCTTTGCGCATTTTACTTCGGTTTCAGAGTGCCACTTATATTTTATAGAAATGCATCCGTCACACAGACATACCATAAAAGGCTATCTTTTTTAAAATCCCTTTTGAATAGATGTGCATCGACACGATGTTCCTAGATTACTTCCGTCTTCCGATTTTAATCTTTTTTTGAAAGCTGTAGTTTGAAATTTTCAAATGCAAATTAAGGCTTGGAATTTGTGTTTTAACTTGATATTTAAATAACCATGATCTTAATATCTAGATAAGTATTTGTTAATTATCCGTTTGTCGACTCCCATTGACTGACATTTTAATTACTGCTTAGATTTTGGATTCATTGAAATATACTGATATATGTATATATATTCCTTAAGAAAGAAATACCTCACGTGAATTACGATATCGTTCAAACATTGGCGTAGAACGACGATAAGACGGATAACTTAGCAAGTTTCAATGTTTGACAATATTTTTAAAGAGTTAATATAACTCATTTACTAAGTACTGATTTATGTACTCTTTGTGTATCTACAAGCCAATTATACTGCTTGATCATTCAAACTAGTTGAGAAAACAGGGTTCAAACCTATAACTCTGTAGTTGAAAGTGTAATGCTTTAATTCTTAGGGCATCACTCAACATGAAGCTACTGACCACACTGAACAGATGCTATATTTCATGAAGTATTACAACATTATGATTTCGTTGCGATATTCTTGCACTTGGAGAAACTTGGGGTTGAACACTATCGAGTATTTTAAAACAACAACAGAACAGTTATATGGCATTTTTATTTGTTAGTTTTTACTACTGTCTAGTAATAGGTACTTTTTTAAAGTTCACTTTACCTTTCATTCTTTCTTTAATTTTTCAAAAACAGTTGATGAACCGGATACTTTGCCTACCTTGGGTTTAAATGTCATCCGTGCTTCAAGAAGCATGAACAATAGCAATAATAATAGTAGTAAAACGGATCAGTCAAATTCTGTTGCTAATTTATTAAAAGACGGAACCCAGGCTTCTATTCTTCCATCAGAAGGTGAACCGCCTACAGTGACTTTTGATTTAGCATGTTTAGCTTGTGGATTAAAAGCTCTTCGATCCATGTGTCCTTATCGAATTGCAAGTCTATTCTGCAGTCATTTGCGAAATAGTTCAATATTGAATCAAACATTTATACTTGAAATGCATATAAAATATTTATTAGCCCTTAAGGACCTGCAAACGTTATCTTCTTCACAAATCACCGCTGAGGTTGTTAGTAATGGGATTAATAACAGTAATAATAGCGGTATCAACAGTAATGGTAATAGCAACAGTAAAAACAATATTAACAATAATAAGTATCCCATGCTTCAAAAGATACAAGTAAATAAAAAAAGTATCTTGGAACAATTGTTTGATAGTGCTTGAAAATAAACATCACAATTTGTAAACAATTTTGTGTGGTTGTACTAGTTCTTTATCTCCTAGTAAACAATAGCACTGAAACCTAAATACTGAAGACATTAAATCAAAAGAGTACAACTCCAAGGATGAGGAAATGTTGGTAACATTGGTAGTGGCATCATCCTTGTTAATAGACAAAGATTAAGAGATTGTAAAGATACCGCTTGAAACAATAAAAGCAACCTTTCAAAAAATTATATCAACAATACTGAAAACTGAAGAGTATTCGGTTTTCCACAATTAATAGCCAAGTTCTTATTGATTTGGTTCGTAAAGTGATGGGATTATTTCTTGTATAATATATGACCCATCAATATGATTTGTACACTAGCTACTGATTGTAGAATGCTAGATACTCTTCGACTCCCAGGTTACTTTTTATTGTTTCAAGCGGTATCTTTACAATCTCTTAATCTTTGTCTATTAACAAGGATGATGCCACTACCAATGTTACCAACATTTCCTCATCCTTGGAGTTGTACTCTTTTGATTTAATGTCTTCAGTATTTAGGTTTCAGTGCTATTGTTTACTAGGAGATAAAGAACTAGTACAACCACACAAAATTTTTTACAAATTGTGATGTTTATTTTCAAGCACTATCAAACAATTGTTCCAAGATACTTTTTTATTTACTTATATCTTTTGAAGTATGAAATATTTATCATTATTGTTGATATTGTTTTTACTGTTGTTAGCTCCATTACTGTTTTGGTGATACTGTTTGTGGTATAATGACATTAGTGATGATCTTATTATTGTTAATTTTACTATACATACTATGTTATAATGCCTTACTATAAAAACAAACTTTTCAAATAATAAATTTATTCTTTCTTGTTTCGTTTGTTCATTTTCATTTAACTATCACTGATCTCGATAGTCTAAAAAGTAGTCGTTAATCCCATTGCAAATATCTGATGTTCAACAATTTCAGGTTGAATCGTTAATTCAGAGATCGTACTGTCTAGACATTGAGTAATTGGTTGAATTATTTTGCTTGTCCATATTTAGGTCATATACATGCTGCATAACCTTGAGATCATTTCTGCACTGTATAAACATGCCAATTTTTTTCAATAAATGTGAGTGGACTTACACACGTATATGATCTATGATTTATCTTGTGTTCAACTTTGTACTAATATTTATTGAATTAGTATGACTCATGTTTTTATCTCAGTCTGTAGTCTGACTAGAATCAAACTTTTCGTTAGTGTTAAATATATATCGGTGACTGGTTTCACTTTCAACTGTCAGTTAAAGAATACAAATTTTATTCATTAAGCGTATACAAAACTCACTGTTCTACAGTGAATACGACGTTTAATTTTGAGCTATAGGACTAACATAATCTCATATTAAGTGTTTGCTGAAGAAACATTAGCAAAACTAGCTTGAGCTCTATTTAAAGGAATTCAGCTCTGGTTAGCCTCAAAAATAATAAATCCAAAGGAAATTAATGACCATATTATTAAAATGAAAATTATGATAAAATGTGAACTAAATAAATAATAATAGAAAGTATTTTAGATGCGAAGTTAATGAGATCATAAGCCTCGTCTCAATGCACCAGTCCAGACGCCACTTTTTTTCTTGTGGCTGTAGTTTCGCAAACAATATCGACGTTTGGGCACACAACTTTTGATCGCTGTACATGATGGCTGACGTCCAATAATGCTTTTATTTTGAGAGGCATATTATAAGTAATAAATTATAATCACTGTCAACATTGATAAACCGTTTTTCGACTAATTTTACCTTATGTTGTACTCAATTTTATCAGCTCATAATGTGGAAATGTGTTCAATGGACAAATTCTAATATTCCTATATACCATAAAATCGACTAAATATTTAAATGCAACTGGAACCAGGCGCCGATCTACGTTTTACTGTGTCAAACTATTTCCAACGTAAGAGTTATCTAGTAGTTAAGACTGAAGAAAGATGGGTGTAGCTTGAATCTGAAACTCAGTAACTAAAGTGTGTTAATCAAAAAGTCATCTACTTCAAGTTACTTTACTGCTCATATATTTTTAAATTGAGATGATATTTACAATCTTCACTCGAAGGTTTATGTATTGCAAAAATAATATGAGTACGGGTGTGCGTATTATATAGAATGTACTAACACGACAATATTGATCCGTCAGTCTACTGTATATAGCACCAGAACTAATATTCACATTTACTACTAAGCGAACTAAGATAAAAACATTCCTGTATATTGTAGTACTTTTAATTTATGACTTCAGCGTGGACTAACGAGATAGCAGAAAAACAGTAAAGCACTTCCCATCGATTATATGTTAAAAGTACTATTCTGAAATATAAGTTTACTGTTTTGGAACCTGAAGTATCACCACACTGACATTTACAGTATCTATCCGATTTTATACGAGACCGAACTAATAATCTTTAGGTTTTTCAGTCTTCAAGTTACCGAAGTATCTAAAATTAAACAGTATTCAAACTTAGGAAATCTCCATGATCCATCATTCAATTATGATCCACTGTGCAACTGTGACATGATTCAAGATGAGTTTCATTTGAATGTGTTAACCTGGCTGTAAAAGTCCAGGTACATAGTGCGTCTATGTAAGTTTTTCAACACTGCTCTCGTGAAATCTTACTCCTCTGATCTGAGATTATCCAGTTACACATTATATTTGATAAGAATTGTCTTCAGAGGATTTCTCATGATCTTGGTTAAGATATGATTCACAATTAATAATTCAGTAGCTTCTATACCGCTAGTTATTTACCTGAACTGATACGGGGTTGGAAAAACATGTGGTTAGTTAATATCTCAGGTCTGTGGAGTGACATATCTTTGTTAAGTTGGCAAGTATCGGCCCAACAAATATCCCTGAGTCGAGTTGTAGGGATTATCCTGTTCATTTGCTTGAGGCACAGTTGAATTATTGAAACAGTTTACATTATTAGACCTGAATTATAATATGGAACAGTGGTCTAGAGTCTGGGTGTTCACGCGCAAGGCCGTGTGCGGGCTCGTAGATGCCCATTGCTGAATAATCTACTTTTTCTGTTCATTTGGTTTAGCTGGATCATACAAAAGCTGAATTATTTAAATTGCAGTCTATTAATTTCTTATGCTCTGATAATTTCATAACATAACAAAGTCGGATCAATAAAATACTACATTGATTTTCATTGTAATTGTAATTCTTATCCTTCATGTAGAGATCTAGACTAATATCAATGGTTTTCTGGCAATTGCGCTCTAATTATAAACAGGTCAAAGGTCATTTGGATAAGCGTAATAGATTTTTCGGTATTTATATTTTTTGTCTTTTGTTAAAGCTGACTCATATGTCCGTCATTATTCAGGTCAATACATATAGACCAATTTAATTTGAGTGGAAGTATGATATCAATAATAATAAGCAAAACATGGTTCAACTTTTTAAGTTTTGTATACTTTAGCTACATTTACAAATGTAAGTGAATGGAGTTCCTTTTTGTGAAATTTTCTGATCAATAATTTTCGGCTTTAATGATGAATACATAGATAACTAATAGTATTACTGACCAATTTACTGTTTCAATTATTTAATAAATTCCAAAAAATCACTCAAACTGTTAAAAGTGAGCTAAGTAGTAGAAAGTCATCAGTTTACTTTTAACCATAGTCAGTAACAGTGATACGTATATACGGTGTGAAAATGGAAGATATCTATTATTGAGACAACGCAAGAACTTGGACTATGAATCGTCGTTTTATATAACTGCCGATTTTGTCATTCATTTCTTTGCATACGAATATAAATAAGTTGTGCAAGCTAAATTTCTACTAAGCATTGAGTCCCTAAATTTTGTTTCACATGGGGATCTAGGTAACTTACTAGATTTTAAACATTCTCGTTATACTGTGGGTCGTAATGTAGTTACCACAACAAAAATTATCTCACATTACGGTAGAGCTTGTTGTCACTAAAGTTTTACAAAAGTCAGGCTTAGGACAGCGTTAACAAACACTAGATATGTTTCAGTGAGGACTGGAGATTTCGTACAAATTACAATCTTCGAGATTCGAAAAGGTTATAAACGTCTGATGATCTAATTAGTGTATTTATACCGTCTTCAATACAGTCCCGGTGGTAGTATTCATGATAATCACATGTTTTGTTCTATGCACCAAAGTAATATCACAAGTATATTTTGTGGTAAGAGACAAAGATTTAATATAATTAAGATTCCTGCTGAAAAGTTTTCAACGTTAGTAGTTTGTACTCCTCAGCTTTTCAAAGATCATTAAGATTTCTTTAAATCACCTACCAATACATCATTTACTATTTATAAAATGACTTGTATTCATTGTGTTACTATGTGAAAAAACTTCCTGATTCAAATCTTTACTTAGTTATTATGCAAAAACATTCATGTGTAAGCGGAGGCTTAAAACCGGGCATTTGAAGCTTCGAAGGATTTTACGTTTGTAATATATTTTGAACTACTCACTAGTAGTATAAAAACAAATCAAAAATCCAAGCTATAGCTGCTAATACATGAGTAAGGAATCTGAGGCTCAACGATATGAGTAATTATTACGTATAGTTTTATTATTTAATGTAATTGACCTCCTCCAGTGCAATCGGATTGAATCCAAATACCACGCGCTCTTCTCCGCAAGTTGTCTTTATAATGGTTAATTTTACATTGTTACCAACAAGTCAGTGGTTGATATTTGAAATACCTAAAATATTTTTTACTTCTACTACATTTAAAATGCAATGAATTGAACATAAGCTTTATATGCGCTTTACACCCCTCACTGTTATTCACGTACTACAACTAGATGTGATTACTGAAAGTATTATTTCTTTCAACTTTGAGGCACATAGAGTATTATTAGCTTTTCCTTACAATATAAATTTATGATCTTGTATACGCTTAACAAAAATGCGGCCAGATACAACAAATTTGTGTCCGGAGATGTATATCATTCTCGCTCTTATCTATCTTCGTTTGATTAAACTAGTGGAGTTAATACAGAATCCTGTTTTAGGTGTCTATTCGTAAAATCCTTCCCACTGGTACTTTATCCAGTATGTTAATACCAGACGAATCGGCTGCATAACTCTCTTGAACTACTTTGAGAGTGAGATATGCGTAAAGTTACTGCAATAATATTTCGAAAATTGATATTACGATCATTAGGTGAAAAGCAAACTCATAAGTGTCGCATCATCGGCTTGACATATGTAAAAATTTTACTCTCATCCTAGGACAAAGGAGGATGGTAAACTTCATTTGTCAGTAAAAGACTACTCTCCCACAATATGAGATGTTAATTGCCAACACTTAACATGATATTTTAACATACCATGATCATCATTACCTATTAAGCCTCAAGCGAGAAGAGACCGAGTAACGAATCTAAATTCTTGATTGCTTAAACTGAGTTACAGCACATGAATGATTGAAGTGTAAATATAACTCCAGAACGTATCAACTAATTTTTTTCGACTGTCGAAAACTAAAGGAAAATGATGCATTTGTTTTGGTCAAGGTAATTACTTCGCATTATTAAAACTACACAACCGCGTTTCATCATAAAAAGAACTCTCTGGTCATCTATATTCTTGTACTAGATAGGAAAATATACTTCTTCGCATGTCTTGTTTAACAGTACGAAAATCAAAAACAATTTGAACGATGTTCGGACCTAAGACTTACTTTATGAAAGTCGATTGTTGATAGGATTTTTAAAAACTAGGCTCAACAGTCAAGTCTTAGTTGGACGATCAATGATCAACAAGCCTGTGACACCTGATTATGTTTATTGTGTTTTCATTCCATTTATAAGCATGCTATTTTATTACATAAAATTATTCTACTGACTTTCACCAATAAAACTTTTACAGAACTACTGGACCTTTTACTCTAGTTTGAGGGATAAGGAAGAAGAGGGTACCAGTAGTTTCGTTCACGGTATTGAAGTTGGAGTTGCAAACAGTAGCTTGGTGCACGAGAATATCGAATTTGTAGTTAGCCAGCTAGTTAAATGCTTTCAAAATTAAACTAATTATCAAATACCTTAGATTTATTCCCTCTAAAGTGGAGTAAACATATTTAAAAATAAATATCAGTAACTTCAGTTTATTGAGAATTTTCATTTTAAACAATAGACAAGTACCTACAATACATCTTGAATAAAATCAAAATATAGGGACCATAAAATTACTCAACACGTTAGAAGAGGAAAGGATGTGAAACAATTCCGAAAGACTTGTCACTTATAATTATTACAAATAATTTCAAGACTTAATGTTTGATGGAATAGGGGAATTATCGAAAAAGAAGCTAGCCGATACAATTTGTTCATCAGGATTATTAGAAATGTGAGGTTTTGGATTTCTTATTGTTCCCCATACCCAAATCCAATATAACGCTCCGATAATAAAAAATACAGCACCAAATTCAATTTTTATGGCTATTAACCATAATAACAGAGTAATAATGAATTGTACATACCATAAATTCCAAATGGCAGTAATTCTAGCTAATTTCTACACAAAAATACGTATAATCAAGAAAATTATTAAACTTGAGTAGTTGAATATATTATCAAAGTACTTATGGATTCTATTAAAATATAATAAATATATAAAAATAGGTAGTCAAAATTTGCGAGAAAAAAAAGAGTTTACAAGTCTGTTGTTACATTTTTCGAAAACAGAAATGGACGGATGAATAATTTATTTGATCTTTATTTTGATAGTGGTGCCTAACTGTAACTGGGAAATAAAACCTAGCATAATACACTGTGGCAGAGTGAGTGAATGGTGGTAAAAATTTATGGTAATCCTATTACGTCAATATTTCATCAGCAATACACATTTGTCAGAAGTCTTAAATTTTCTATGGATTCCATCACTAACCACCAACTAGATATCTAGTATTAAAGTTGCTTATAATCCGTTAGTTATAAATTAAATATTTAAACGCTGACATTAATTGATAATAACGCTTCACTGAGTCATATAAATATGTAAATAGGATTAGTATACATAGAAAACTAAAAGTGATATTCTAGTACAATATAGTTAAAATGTAAGTAAATCAGTCATTTATGGCAAAAAAGATTACTTGAATGCATCTTTTTTATACTGTTATGAATCAATACATAAATTAAACAGAAATATATTACTGTATATGGTTCTTTTACCACAGAACTGTTGACAGGTTCTTGAAGCACATTTACGGTTGGAGGTTTTAACTCCGGAGTTACTGGATTCGCTAGACGATAAGCATCCAACTGAGCTTTAATTTCGAAGTAAGAACGTTGTTTAAACTTGGGTACCATGTAATTAGTCTGAAAACATTTTATAAACAGATGCACGTTACTAGGTGGGCTAGGATATATATATATATATATATATATATATATATATATATATATATATATATATATATATATATATATATGGAGTAGATAAAATACAAATTAAGCCATCATATATACCCTGGTACAACAAAGTATATTAGTCGCCGTTATGAAAGAAGCTTGAAACCAGTGATGATTTACATGTGATCATAAATGAAGTTTAGAATACCAAACAACGTTTCTACGAACACTGAAAACGCCTTGAATACTGTTGTTTCAAGGATCATATGAACCATATAAAATCCAAGTACCGGTCACTGATTTCCATTTACAGACCTTCAAACCACCTTACTAACTGGACTTTAACCAGTAAGATATCCCAAGGGTACTAGGCTCTCTAAGCACGGAGAAATTACCAGGACTGGATGAGATACGCCCTAAAATCATGAGATTAATTGCAACATATATTGCTACCCCGTTCACTACGATATTCAGTGTCATTCATCCGGAGTTACATGTGGACCGAAAGGGTCCAACTAACAGTCTATTTCACAAGGTAGGATAAAGACAATTTCTCTAGAAGTGCAGACTCATCAGCCTCACCAGTGTCGTAGTTAAAATATTATAAGGAATCAACGAAAAGATAATTACTTAGATGAAAACCAGTACACTTGTTACACAATGAATAAAATAGCCTCAAGAAAGGAACACTACATACGACTAACCTAAGAGTAAGACAGAGCTATCTGATGATAGAAAATAAATGAGTAATGTTTACGTTAACTTCAGTACAGCATTTGATAAGGCACAACATAATAGATTTCTACTAAAACTTGGGAAACTCAAGAATTAGTGCAGCTCTGATAAATTGGATTAGTCTTCTTAGTGGTTCGTCGACTACAAGAATAAGACTCAAATGTTCCTCATAGAAACCAATACTTAGTGGAGTAATTCAAGGCTCTGTACTAGGTATTTAACTTTTTATACTTCATGAGAATGAGCTCGCAAGTATAATTAAGTTTTTAACGCTACCTTGAGCTGATGGCATCAAAATCTGGAAATAATTAAGGAAGGATGGAAGTGCATGTGGACTCCAGGCTCTAGTTAGCTGATCAAAATTATGGTCATTGCCTATAAATACGACTAAGTGTCAACACATATTCTAGACATATACAAACAAATAATGACAGCACTGAACACGTCTGTACTATGAGTCTAGTTCCGCAATGGTCTAAGGATAATAGTGGGCCACGACCATAGAATCACGGCTCGCTGCTGAGGTTACAGTCAAACAGTTTAGAATCTATGGGCGTCAAGATAGATATTTACGGAGCTGGATACAAAGGTGTTCATCATGATATACACAACCTTGCTGAAATCCGAAACTGAGGACCGATTTTAGGCTGCAAGATCATTTAAAAGATGGATCGGGTATCTTAGGAACAGTGCAAAGGAGTCATATATTTAAGGAATTCCGAGACTTTCCATACACGATTAAGCCAGATATATTGGATCTCTTTACTCTGTCTTATCGCAGATTAAGTGGTGGTCGGAATTTGACAAATAGAAAACTGATAAATGATTTCGGATGTGATCATTCCCTAGTTTTGTTTCTACTAAATAAGGACAACTCAACTGTGTCCTCCCGATTCAAATGCTTGTGGGCGGAATATATGCTTTCGCCTATCGGACTTCCGTATCTAGTAGCAGTGGATCACCAATGCCTCTATGTAAGAACCCAATTTTATTAACGACATAAGAGGGAACAGAAAAAAATAGCAAATCATACGTCGTTCCTTCTTCAAGGACCTCCGAGAAGTCGCTTAGACTAGCTCAGCCGACAATGAGTTCCAGTATTTGACTACACTTAAAGAGTAGGTGTGTCTACAGTCCGTTATGTTGTGTTGAGTTTCCAGTTTCTGGGTGTTACCCCTACGGTTTGTGTTAGGACGAAGTTTAAGTGGATGTCCAGAAATGTTTAGTATACTATAAGTTGTAAGGTCACATCTAAGACGCCTATATTCTAGTGGGTGAAGGTTCAGTGATTGATGGCGCTCTTCATAAAACTTGAATTTGAGTCCCCGAACTGATTTCGTGGCTTGCCGTTGGATACGCTCCAGAGTGCCCTTATCCTTTTCGAGTGAGTGAGGAAATACTATAGTTCTGTACTCGATGAGATTATAATTTATGGACGAACCGATCAGATATAAGATAACAAGTGTTGGATTTTGGTGAGAAATTCATTTATTCATCCGACTGAACAGCGTCTTAGCTGATATCAGTTCGTGATGAAGACTAAATCTAGTTCATAACTCTAAATACGGACTGTAAATCATAATTCTAAATCCCCACATTGCTTTATAGCCAACATTTAGTCTTAATTAATTGGTGGAAATTCTCAGGGTCACTTTAGAGTCGCTCAATGGTTGTCAATAAATTATAATCTCACCATACAGTCGCATAAACTTACAAGACAAGGGCTAACATAAGCTATTACCCTCAATACTGTAGCACGTTGTATTAGTGTTTATTCAGGAGCAGGAGCGATCTGAAACAACAACACAACAGTCAGAACTGGTAACTGTCTCTGAAGTAGGAACGCGGCGTACTGGCACACGAATATATTGAAATTGAAGAACGCGGTCATATTACAAAAAAGGGAAAACTTACTGCAAAATAGTTTTATCCATCGTTCTGCATGTTCAGCTTCCATAGAGCTTGTTCCTCTTCTTCCAGTGCGTTTAGTCTTTGTTGTCCTGCAATTAGAAAAGCAGACTCGTATTAGTAACACCATATGTAATGATTTTTGCTACTGTTACATTAAGCCCCTCTCTCCAAGAGGAACTGTTCTCAGTGCCCGGGTGTGGACATGGGTATGCTACTCCACCTTCTGGTGGCACTTCATAATGTCTGACGGCAGTCGGGGGTTTGGCAAACCGGGTATCTAAGTGCAACCATGCTCGGTCCGGCTTCAGCTGATTATAGTGTTGTTACAACTTCATCTTGGGGCCGTTGAATGTTACGTAGGACAAACGTAGTAGGGGATCGAATAGACACAATTTCGTAGGGTCCTTGTCACGGTCGGTGGAATTTGCTGCACATTCCTGGTGGAGCCACTGGACAGTGCAGCCAAACACGATCTCCGGTTTTATATGCGGACCTGTTTGCTCGTCGGCCATACACATCCTTTTGGTGTTTGCTGGCATTTTGTGGGTTGTCTTTAACTAGTCGATATGCTTCGGCTAGACGGCTGCGAAGATTACGGATATATGGCACATGGTCTTGAGCCTCACATGGTAGCAACGGCGTTTGTATCTCCACAGGTAAGCGTAATTTATGCCCGAAAAAGCAGGTAGCAGGTGAAAAACCCGTGCGCTGACGCGCGATAAGCTAGGAGGCACTGAAGTATTGCATCCTTCCAGCATTCAGTCGAGTTATTGATGAACGATAGTAGGAGTACTTTGATGGTTCTGTTCGTTCTTCCTACTACGCCATTACATTCTGGATGGTACACGGTGGTGTGTTTTCCGAATTCCCAATAACTGGCATACCTGGGCGATGAGGTGACTTTCGAAAGTTGCACGTTGTCCAGAATGGAGTGAGACTGGAATGCCGTACGAACAGCACTTCGGTTTTTGACTGCAGGAAAGCTGTCAGTTCCATCGTGGACCTATAGTCCAACAGTGATGACTGTGAATGGAGCCACCGAATCTAGTCGACAAGATAGTTCTCAAAGTGCAGCGGTTATTAGAGAGTCCTCTGGCCGGGATATCAGACGAGGGCAGCTGACTTCCATGTGGAACAAACGGTCATCAGGGAACAATTATCGGGACCGCCAAATTGAATGCTTCTACTACAGACGGTCTGGCAAAATGCCAAGAGATGCGAGCGTAATCGCGTGCAGAACAGAGGTAAGCCGTGTCGTTATCATCTATCTTCCTGTTATGTCAAACATGTATGCCCTGTTACTATTGAGGGTAGGGTGCAAGATACTGAGATTGATATACTATTAGATACGGGGAGCTTCAGTATCCCCTATCAAGTAAACTTCCTGCAAAAACTCAACCACAAGACTCAGCGGAAACACTGCCCCTCTGCAAAAATCATAGCAAGCGGAGACCCCTTGAAAGCGCGTTCTAAATAGGGTTAGAGTTAACGATAGACAAGAATCCTTTTCAACATGAATTCTTGGTTTGCCCCACACTGAATTGGGACATGATACTCGGGGTTCATTTCACGTTAAAATACCAGGACCTACAGCTTATTTATCAAAGACAGCTACATGGAAATAGTTAGCTACCTATTAGGGAGCCAAAAAATCAGTCCATAACAACTCGTCGTATTTGCAGTAAATGGAGCAACCTGAAGTTATATGGTAACACGCTATTCTTGATCAATGAGACGAGACAACCCCTGTTAATAGTTCCACAGATAAAGGTCCAGAGTATTGTAGACAGGTGCATCGCGAACTCAGTCATTCTGGAGAACATATAACTGAATACGCAGTCCGCCGCCGATTTTGGTGGTTCAAATGGTTGTGGACGGAATAGAAGAAGCTTTTGCTTAACAGGCTTCCGTGTCTAGTAGCAGAGGATCACCAAAATCTCCAGGCAAGAACCTATGCATATTAACGATAAAAGAGAAAAAAAGAAATTGGTAAATTATGGTAAGATACCACCGTTAGTCCTTAAGAATAGATCGAGTCGCCTCTTAAAGGACTCCTAAAAAGTTGCTTGGACTAGCTCAGCTGGCAGCGAATTCCAGCATTTGACAACTCTTAAGGAGTAGGGGTTGTGCCTGCAGTCCGTTCTACTATGTTGTATCTCTAATTTCCGCTCATTACCCCTTAGGTTAGTGCTGTGACTAAGCTTAATTAGGTGTCTAAGAGGATGTACAGAAGTGTTAAGGATACTGTAAGACATTGGAAGGTCACCTCTAAGACGCCTATACTCTAATGGGTAAAGGTCGAGTGATTAGAG